ACCACCACCATGAACACGGTCCTCACCGTCATCAGTAGCATCATCACCCCCACCACAACCACAACCACCATCATCAACATCATCATCAGCAGCAGCATCATCATCGCCACAATCATCAACATCAGCATCAGCATCATCATGATTAGCATCAGCACCAGTACCATCAACATCATCATCACCACTCCCAAACAAGCTCTAGGGCCTGAGGGGTGATGAGAAGGAGGGAAGGGGGAGAGGGAGAACGGGAGGTTGGATGGGGAAGTACATGAAGGGGGGAAACTGTTGCTGTCCCTCCCGGGGGGGGGAGGGGGAAGGGGGCGGCAAGGGCAAGGAAGCGGATGCCCCCAGACCTCGTGCAGCACAAGCTTGCAGGCGGCGAGGTGGTGGTGCGCGGGATCGCGGCACCACTCCTGCAAAACGGGTGGTGGTGGGACGCTTGGACGATAGAGGTGACGAGGGAGGAGTGCAGGATATCGATTAGTGAGGCAAGACGGGGGGGAAGAGGGCGAGGGGGGGAGGGACAAAGAAGGAGAAGGGATGTGGGAGGAGGGCGAGGAGGGAGGAGGGTTGAGGGGGAGGCGGGCGCACTGGGACCAAGGCGGGGGAAACGGGTGGATGAGGGGGGCGAGGGAGGGGTCGACGAAGGAGGGGACAGGGGCGAAGGATGAGAAAACCGACCCGCTGGAAGAGGGAGGGGTCAAGGGTCGGGGAGGGGATAGTGGGACTGCCCCCCCGGGAGAAGATGCTGTGCCCTGTCTAGAATAAGAAAGATTCCACAGAAGGGTCCTGAAGATTGCGCAGACTTCTGCTAGTAGAGAGTTCGCTCCCGGAGTGAAACTCTATCACAGAACCAGGGCGGGACGCCGAAGTGACCCGCGTCCCGACAAACAGGAACTCGTGCCCGCGACGACGGCGACGACGGCGAGGACGTCGACGACACCAAGGATAAAAAGGAAGGCGGCGACGGCGACGGCGTCGACACGGGCGACGGCGACGACGGCGACTACGACGGCGGCGCACACAGCAACGGCGGCGGCGGCGGCGGCAGCAACGACGATGGGCTCCTCCCTCGCGCCAGCGACAGCGCCCTCCGCGGAGCCGGACCCCGCAGCCGCGGGCTGCCACGCGGGCTCCAGCAGCTTCTGGCAGGTCGGGAGGTCCCTGCGGGCCGGGTCGCGGCAGATGTCGCGCATGAGCCTCCAGAGGGGCGCGGGCGGGGAGCGGAGGGGGAGGAGGGAGCTGGGAGCGGTCCGCCACCTCTGCAGCCTCCCCTTCCCTCCGCCTCCCCTTCCCTCCGCCTTGTCCTGCGAGGCCCCGTGGAGGCCTCCAGAAGCCCCTGGAGACCTCTGGGGACTCTGGGGCCGACTTCCCTCTGCTCTGAAGGGGCCCTGGGACACGCAAATACATAGACACCCATCCCAGCATCCCACATGTTGTCTCATGATTTCTGGGTGTTCGTCTTCCCCCCCACTTCCCATATTTTCCTACATTTCCCTGGGAGTCGACGATTCAATGTGTATGTGTGTTATTCATCTCCTGATACCCCTCCACAAAGATGAAGGAGGACCGAGCAGGATGGGCACCAGGACTGGTGGAGGGGGCGAGAGGGAGGGAGTGCGAGTGAGGGGGCGGGTTTTTCAGGACCAGAATCGAATCGATAAATCGGATCGGCGAACGAAACGGAGCGGATCGGTGGAAATCGGCAGCCGAGCTGGGAAAGGTCGAATCTTCGGAAATCTGCAGGCTAGTATGGAACCCAAAGCCGAATAGAATCCGAATCGGAATCCCAAGTCGGGTAGAATCCGAATCAGAAACCATTGAAGTCGAATCGAATCGAATCGAATCGGAGGAATCGAAACGAGCCGTTTCTCCGTGGCGCGAACGGGATAGGAGGTAGGACCGATGTTCGCTCAAAGTCTGGTCCCTGGGCCTCTCGAGAGCACCATACCGACTGGCCTCTCGACCTGCATCTGGCCCTGGTCACGGGAAGGCCACCACGAATCCTCTATCGGCTCGTCCAGTGTTCATTTCATCCGTTTCGCTTCGTCCGATTCGTTCGTTTCGTTTCGTTTCAAGCGCTTCGTTTCGTATGGTTTCGATTCCTCAGGTGTTCAAATCAACTGGTTGCCCCTTCGTTTGGTTTCGATCCGTACGGTTTCAGGTCGACCGCTTGTCGATTCATCCGCTGTCATGTCGTCTGTTTCCCACTCGCTCAGTTCGTCCAGCTCTGACGAGCCTGGCGTCGATTCATCCAAGTTCAGTTCGTCCAACTCGGTGTCGTATGCACAGGGAGCGCCGGTCGGACGGAAAGGTAGCGGACGAAACGAAACTTAGCCGAAACGACAGCGGACGGAACGAAGCGCCGACAAACTGAGAAGCGGACAACACCACAGCGGGCAAAGCGAAACGCAGATGAAGCAAGAGCGGACGACGCGAACGGCCACCCACCCCGAGAACTTACACGCGTTCGCCAGGAATCGGCTCCCGGGCCCCTCCCGGACGCAGTGGCCACGAAAGGCCACCCTTCCATCGGGACCGAGCGCAGAGGACGCCCGAGAGGACCCTGGCCTCTTCCGAAGCCGGGCGCGAAGCGCGATATAGAGGCAGAGCAACGCAAGCACTCTGGATTTGGCAGGGTCGACCTGCGAGACCCCACGCTCCATCCTCCATCCTCCATCCTCGATCCTCCGATCCTCGATCCTCGATTCGGTGGTGCAAAGATGAAGTCCCGATGGATGGGGCCCTAAGGACGAGGCGCCTGCAACAACGTAAAGTTACCCTTGGACCCCTTCCTGCCCTTAGGACCCCACCCCCCAGGACCCCATCTTTGAACCGCCGATCAATCGATCCTCGATCATGCCCCCCCCCCTCGGGGATGTTCTGACCCGGGTCAATCCAGACCCGGGTCAGCCAGGCCTTGCAGGATCCTGCAAGATAATGCACCCAAACCAGGGCCAATGAGCAGGATCCTGCAGAATCCTGCACCCAAACCCGGGTCAATGCGGCTCTGGCCCTGCGGGATCCTGCAAGATCGGGCGCTCTGGCTGACCCCCCGTGGAGGAGGAGGAGTATGAGGAGGAGGAGGAGGAGGAGGAGGAGGAGGAGGAGGAGGAGGAGTGCCTCGGAGACAAGGAGGAGGACGAGGAGGAGGAGGAGAGGAGGTGGAGGAGAGGAGGAGGAGGAGGAGGAGGAGAGGAGGAGGAGGAGAGGAGGACCCCCGCAGAGAAGTCGGGGGGTCGGCGGGCCCGCCGCCCCCGGCGGCCCAGCGGGTCTCTCCGAGGACGCTCTTCCCCGGGGGGTCTGGAGGCCCCCGACGTGGCTCCCCACTTGGATCGCCGCGGTGGTCGCCAAGGTTTGGACGCCCGACATGGGTACCGAAAAAATGGGTACGATGCCCAACAACAAATGTTGTCCCAAGCCAACAGCGGCCGCTGTTGGGCGGGCGGCCTCCTGTCTCGAATGGACACAGGCCGCGGCGGCGTGGACAGCGAGCCCTGTTCAAAATGAACAGGATCCGCTGTTGGGTATTGTACCCATTCTTTCATGGCCCATGTCGGGCGTGAAAATATGTCATGTTGACAAAGAGATGTCCCAGACCCCCGCCATCACGGCACCTCGCCTGGCTAGGCTCCCGTGCATGTTCAGCCAGAAACACATGCACAATGTCGACTAGTAGCAGCAGGGGGGGTCAGAAGTGGGTGCCAAGGTGGGTTGTATCCAGCCCGAAGGCCAGACGAAACCCACTTTTGCATCCACTCCTGACCCCCCCATCCCCTTGGCAACCACCGCGGCGATCCAAGCAGAGCCCGCCAGAGAGCGAACGAGCGACCGCATTCGTCCCCGTGAGGCGGCGCCTCCCAGACCCCCTCGCTTTGTGAAAAAAACACGCAGGAATTTGTTGTTTCGTGATATTCGGCCTCGAGGGGCCCTCGCTGGGCCTCGGGACCGTCAGAAACCGACTCAGGATGACAAACCGGTCCCGGGGAAGGGGTCCAGACCTCTGAGGTCGACGTTGTGAACAAAAATCACGGGGGTCTGTGACGTGCGAACACGGCCAGCGATACTGTTGCGAAATGGCGCGACAGCAACGACGGAGCCCAAACAAAGGGCCCCCAAGAAACGTCCAAGAGCCCTCATCCTCATCCCCATTGCTCTCCTCCTCCTCCTCCTCCAGCGGCGGGGTCTGACCATAATTTTCAAGCACAGCCCGTCGAGGCGACGAGGGCTCCCAAATAAGCTCAAATAGGTTGACACACAGTAACAACTTCGATCCTCATGGCTGGAACAACGGGGGGTAGAGAAGGGCAGCAGATCTACTACACGTAGCTAGTTTCCCCGCCGCCTCCCAGCATCGGAGACGACCGTGCATCGAAGGAACATGCCCAGCGGTGTGGCCTGTCTGCATCTCAGATGTACGCAACATGTTCCACAATCTGCACTGGAAGCCACTCAACAAGAAACCTTCCACAAAAAAACAACCCTGAGACCCCAGGACGTCCATTGATGTTTGGTGTTGGAACGTCACGATTGCCATAGCAACTTCATCGAAACCTCAGAAACCCATGGGGACCCTGAAGGCAAGCAGGGTGCTTCTTGGCATGGGCCGCCACTGCACCCATCCTGGAGGACAACAGATGCCGATGCTGCTTCTCCGCGGACCTCTCTCAGAGCCCGCCCAGGCAAAGATCTCGAGGCAAACCCCACCGAGACGACGAGGCACGGGCATCACCCTCCTCCGCGACGAGAGCACGCTGGTGCAGCTGTGCCGGCATCGGGCTGACGTTTCGTCTGCGGCGGGGCCCGTCTGAGCCAGACTGCCTCTTACGAGGGAAGCAGTGCCCCAGCACATCAGGTCGGGCATCAGGTCGGGCACGAAAAACAAAACAAATAGTCCAAAGCTACCCAAAAATATTAGAACATGGTAGACAAGTGGCCTCCATTCTATTTGGTGACTTTTGTTCCCCAGACTATGTTTGTTCCCCGTGTTCACTATGTCTGACTATTTTTGCCTACTGTTTGGAATTGGTTTACCCATGTAGAGAGACATGCCCGACATAAAGTTACAGTGGACAAAGAGCAGGCCCCAACCCGCCCTGCCTCAGCCTGGGTTTCCAGGTCTGTGATGCGGGGATGTTCGGGGGGGACTGGCTCCGAGGGGTAGACGTCGAGCTTGAATTGCCCATCGATCGGCGAACAAAAGGGAGGAAGAAGAAGAGGAAGAAGAAGAAACGGCATCATCATAAACTTTCGATGGTCCGCGCGGATTCCTTGGATCTGCGCTGGACCCCCTCCCTGGCGCGCGGAGCGCCAGGCGGCGCCAGAGGCGCGGACCACCCAGCGCGGATCCAAGACAATCCGCACGGAGCGCCAAAAGTGTATGTTTATGGTCCGCGCCAAAGTTATGTTTATGGCATTTTCTCTTCTTCGACTAAGGCCCCCGATGGCGAATCCGCACGCTCCTGCGGTCGGGTGGGCCATCGGGCCCCCATCGGCGATCGATGTGCCACCGGGGGGCCATGCATTCCCCACTGAACCTATTCTTAGGTCGGGCATGTCCTCCTACAGGAAGAGTTTGGAAGAAACATGAAACAGTGTCAGACAGCAATCAAACATAATCACACAAAAAAGAGCACGACACATCTTCACCAGACAATGCTTTACTATTCCTGAATATTCCACCTGTGGAGGGACATGCCCCAAATAAACCTGTCCTCCCCCCCAGCGCTGCCTCTGACTTCCACAAGGGGCCTGCGAGGACGCTGGACAGCAGGGGGGACACTGGTGGGGCCCTTGGGCGCGGCGGCGGCGCTCGGGCTGCTCGCCACGACGCGCCGCCCTCCCCCCCCCCGGCCATTCCCTGACGTGCTCTGACTGTGCCGATGTTCGCGGAGCAAGGACCGAACGCCCCGGCATTCCTGTAGCGGGCCCACCACGAGATGCTCATTGGAGCCCGAGAAGGCTCGAAGGAAAAGGACCATGATCTTCGATGTGTTGAAATAGGGGCTCGAAGAATGACAAAAACATAAGGGGGGGGTACAAGAGGAACAAGGACGACAAAAACGCAAGGCTGGCAAACAAGATTGAATAAGGGTGTCGGATCGGCGCCAGACCTCCCTCCCTGGCGCGTGGAGCGCGCCAGGGGCGGCGCCGGAGGCGCCGCCAGGGGGGTCCAGCGCGGATCCGAGAAATCCGCGCGGACCTCCGAGGCTTTCTGTTCACGTCGCTCTTCGCTCCCCCTAGAAAGCCAAGACGGTCGCTGCCGGAGAGGCGCCCGGCACACCTCGTGCGGACCGCAGGGTGGGCCCTCAGGCAGGCTGGGAGCGCCTCGCCACCGCTCGCCTGGGGCGCGGCGGCGGCGGCGCTCCCGGCTGCCTGCCACGACGTGCCGCCCCCGCCGCCAAGAGCACGCCGATTTTTCTTACGTGCTCGGACTGCTCGACCTGAATCTGCTGGATGAAAGAGGAAACTGTTCTTTTCTTGCGTGCTTTCCCTGACTTGCTTTTTCCTGCTTTCTTTTCTTACGTGCTTCTTACGTCCTGTCCGACCTTTCTTTTTCCTGACTTTTCTTACGTGCTCAGACTGTCCGAGGAAGCATAACATCAGCATAAACTGTTGGGCGCTACGCGCGGATTTCGGGGGGGATGGGGGGGTTGTTCGGGGGGGGGCTGGCTCCGAGGGAGAGACGTCGGGCTGGAATCGCCGATAGATCGGTGAAAAGGGGAAGAAGAAACGGCATAAACATAAACTTTGGACGGTCCGCGCCAAAGTTATGTTTATGGCATTTTCTCTTCTTCGACAAAGGCCCCCGATGGCGAATCCGCACGCTCCTGCGGTCGGGTGGGCCATCGGGCCCCCATCGGCGATCGATGTGCCACCGGGGGGCCATGCATTCCCCCCTGAACCTATCCTTAGATCGGGCATGGCCGCGCGGAGCGCCAAAAGTTTACAGTGGGGGCCCGACCACAAGAAACCTTCCACAAGAAGCCCGACCCTGAGACGCTAGGACGCCCATTGATTCTCGGTGTGGGAACCCCACGCCTGCCTTCGCAAAACCATCGCAACCCAAACAGGCCCAGCGCACGCTGGAGGCAGACAGGGTGTTTCTGCATGTCTACGCGTTGTGCTGTTTCGGCACGAGCCCTGACGGCAGGGGGCAAACCAACCTACCTCGCTTTTGACCACCCTCGCTTCCAAGAGCTACCAAGCGATGCCAAACTACGGCACGCACTGGTCAGGCCGCTTGACGGGGAGGCGCGTGGTATGACTTGGTTTTGCCTGGAAGCGAAAGCGGGTTGGGGGGGGTGAGGGTTCCACACGTGATTTTTCTATGTTTCCCGCCCCCCCCCACTGGAAATCGAGGGTAAATCTGAGCCTTCAGGTTGGGTTGGGGTGGTTTGGTGGGTGGTGACCGACGGGCCTGTCGATGCGCGCCCAGCTCTGCGAGTGCGCCTCGCGCTGCGGGCCCGCCTCCGCGGACCCCTCCGGCGGCGGCGCGGCGGCCTCTGCTCGGGGGGGGGCTCGATGTGTGCGCCCTGCCGGCTGCTCGGCCAGGGAACTCGAGGACGAGGACGAGGGCGAGGACGAAGGGCGAGGACGAGAAGAAGAAGGAAGCAGGAACACAGGAGGAGGAGGAGGAGGAGGAGGAGGACGAGGAGAAGAAGAAAAAGGAATGGTAGGAGGCCCCAGTTTCCCAACCGCTAGGATGCTGAAGCATCGTTACACCGAGTTCCGTCGCCGAGATCATTGCCTCTGTGGCCGACCGAAAGACGTGGTGCGCACGTCGGGCCCATCCGGGGGTCGAGGAGGGGCGTCCCGCGAAGGGACCCTTCAGGGCCCGAAAAGGGCACCGTTCTCCCTCCAGTTTGAAGTCGGGCCTGTCCCCCTACAGAGAGGTTTTCGACGACGAGTAAAAAATACCCGAAAATATGTTTTTCGTCGTCCGCGTCCTCGTCCTCGTCCCCGTCCTCGTCGTTCCTACTCCTCTTCCTCTTCCCCCTTACGACTTTGTCGGGTGGCCCGATTCTCGACACTCACAACAAGAAGCCAGGGCTGGAGAACCGAATGCACGTATGAAAGGGCGTTGGGTTGTCGAGCCGTCTGGCCACATGCTGTGCAAGAAATCCTGGGCACAAACATTCTCGATACTTGTCCCCCCTCTTCCACCTCCTCCTCCTCCTCCTCGTCCCCCTCCTTCCTCGCTCTTCCTCCTCATCCAACTCTCCCCCTTTTCCACAACTACGGCATGGTAATCGTGCTTCCCCCGCGCCTTCAAGTATGCGCATCGGAACCCCACGACCTCCCTCTCTACATCTCTCTCTCTCTCTCTCTCTCGCTGTGTTCTCTCTCTCTCTCTCTCACTTTGTCTCTCTCTCTCTCTCTCATTCTTTCTGTATATAAGTATGCATATATGTGTTGTTCCTCCCTCTCTTGTTCTTCTTTCTCGTTTTCGCTCCCCCTCGCTCTCTTTCTCTCTCTCTCTCTCCCTATATCTCTCTTTCTTTCTCTTCCTCTTCTTTTCTCACTATATCGCTCGCTCTTTTTTCTCTCTCTCTCTCTCTCTGTTTGTGTTTTCCTCGCGGAATACTCCACTGGTTGGCCTTGTAAACGTAGGTTTTTCGTCGGAGCGCCTTCTCTCCTTCAACACGGTGTTCCCGCTGGAACAAGCCCCCCTGCGCCAAGGCCCATAGACGGCCCAGGACGGCGCAAGAGAAACCCGAACAACCCCAAGAGGGCCTCCAAATAGACCCACTACGGAGTTACAAAGCAACCTCGACGGTCCGATATGACCCATGTGGCCCAGTGGCGGCCCCACGACGGCGGCAAGGAACACCCCGGACGAAGGCCAAAATACGGCCAAAAAAAAACCCCAAGACGGCCGACGAGTGGCACAAAGGACCGCTAAGACTGCCCCACGGGAGGCCAAGAAAAGACGCAGGAATGGCGGGCTGACGCGCGCGAGAACCCCCGAAACGGCACCGAAAACTGCGCAATTCATACATATAAAAATACCAGCATGCCCCGTTGCGGGGCCACCAGACTGTAGACCGAAGCGCGCTGCTCCCTGCGCGAGCAGGATGCACGACCAAGACAGCTGGTCCGCAAATACCCATCCCCTGCGGAATGGCGTCTGCGCGGGGCACTCGGCCGCAGGGCACTCCACAAAGACGCGCGCGCTCTGAGGGCCACGCACCGAAAGGTGAGAGAAGGGGACAAGTCCGGGTGCCCCAACCAACCTGGCCCGAGACATCCCCCACCCACCCCCTCTTACGACACATGGGCGGCGGAAGCAAACAGAAGATGCGAAATACCTGCACGGGCAGACCACGCAGCGACAGCGCTCCGAGAGAGACCGCGGGGGAGAAGCGTCAAGATGTGCACCAATGGGAAAAAAAAAAAAAAACAATATGACACTTGCACACGACGTAAAAATATTATCCCAATGCGACCCGACCTAGGAGTTGGAGCATCTACATTTACATCAACACCTGCAGCTATACCTACATCAACATCAACAGCGAGACTCACATCTACATATATATATATATATATATATATATCTACACCTACATCTACACCGACATATACATCTACATCTACACCGACATCCACATCTACACCTACACCTACATCTACATACACACCTACACCTACATTTACATCTACATCTACAATTTCGCATTGGTTGCGCTGTTGCGTTGCATTGCCTTTGCTTTTGCTCTTGCCTTTGATGTTGCCGTTGCCTTTGCTTTTGATGTTGCTTTTGCTGTTGCAGTTGCGTTTTGTTGCGTTTGCTTTTGTTTGATGTTGGTTTTGCTTTGCCTGCGCACAGACACACACACGCGTGTGCTCGCATTCGCTCACCGGATGTGCTTGATAATGCTCCGTATCCGGTCTACACCACACGACTTGGCATCGAGCAGTGCTATGCCTTGCTATGCTATGCGATGCTGTGCTGTGTTGTGCTATGCTATGCTGCGCAGTGCTATACTAGGCAACGCGATGCTATGCTACGCTATGCTATGCTGCGCTAAGCTATGCTGTGCTATGCGATGATATGCTAGTGTATGTTGTGGTTGGCAACATTATGCTATGATATGCTATGGTTGACTATGATATGCTATGCTACGTTGTGCTAATGCTGCGCTGCGCTATGCTGCGCTGCGCTGCGCTGCGCTGCGCTAAGCTGTGCTAAGCTAAGCTAAGCTAAGCTAGGCTAGGCTACGCTACGCTAAGCTAAGCTAAGCTAAGCCAATCTGAGCTAAGCAAGCTGAAAATAAGCAAGGCTAGACTAAGCTAAGTTAAGCTAAGCCAAGCTAAGCTAAGCTAAGCTAAGCTAATGTAAGCTAAGCTAAGCTAGTCCAAGCTCAGGTAAGCTGTGCTAAGCTAAGCTAAGCTAAGCTAAGCTAAGCTAAAGTAAGCTACGATATGCTACGCTAAGCTAAGCTAAGCTAGGCTAGGCTAGGCGAGGCTAAGCTAAGCTAAGCTAAGCTAAGCTCAGCAACGCGAAACTACGCTAAGATGAGATAAGCGAAGCTAAGCTAAGCTAAGCGAAGCGAAGCTAAGCTAAGCTAGGCTAGGCAGAGCTAAGCTAAGCTAAGCTACTACGATGAGATAAGCTAAGCTAAGCTAAGATAAGCCCAGCTCAGCTAAGCTAAGCTAAGCTAAGCTGGGTGAACCCAAGGGGCGCGACTGGGCGAACCGCGGGGCGGGGGCTGGGGGGGACCGCCCGGGGCGCTTTGCACTGCCCGGCCCCTTTAAGCTAAGAGAGTAAGAACCCTCTAGGCAAAGCCTGGGTGAGGAATTATGGACACAGGTTGGATTGCCCGCTGCGGAGCGCGCTGCAGCGCGGGATGTGCACCTGGCGGGAGCGACCGAGAATGAAAGCAGGATGCTGAGAGCGGGCGAGAGCTCGAGCACGTCGACGCGCGTCTCTCGACGTGCACCTGCGGGGGGGGGGGGGCAGGACAAACGATGCGAGCTCAACAGCCGCTGGATTCCTCGAGGCTCAACTGCCCTTTAAGAGCGGGAGCACCACGCGAGTTCAACCACTGGATTCCTCGAGGCCCAAGTGCCCTCGGGAACGGGGGCGCCGACAGCGCCGCCGGGCCCCCCACCCCCCCGACGCGAGACCGCACGAGAGATGGGAAGCAGAGGAAGGAAGGAGATGGGGGGGAAGTTTTGCCCCCGCCCAAGAGTGGCCGCTCGCAACGATCAGGGGCGCGCTGGCCCCGCCCAAAATGGGTTGGTTGTTCTTATCGACGAGGGCTGGGCCCTGGCCACCTCGAGCGCGTCCTTGTAGGCTCTGTGGTGAGAGGCGCCAGTTAGCGGGGCTGCGACCCCCACGCAAAGGTTCCTCATGTGCAACGAGAAGAAACAAAAAGAAAGGAAGAGAACGGACCCAACTCCAGGGAGACGCGGGGAGGCGAATTCCCGCGACCGCCAGAGGCCGCGGGACCAGGAGAGAGGAGAAAGGGGAAAGACAGGGAAGACCCCCCCCCCCCAAGAGGGACATCCACGCCCACGCGGCGCAAGAGAACGAGGACCGGGCCTGCGCGGAACTGACGCGGGGCCCACCGCGAGGACTCAACCTGCAGTCGCGGGCGCTGCGAGCTCTGCGAGGAAGAATGACCTGCGCGCGACTGTGACAACGTTCAACCACAAAACAAATCATAAGGTCACGGGTCAGCAACGGGCACCTATAGGCCCCCGCCATCGACGTCTCGGAACCGTCCGCGCGCGCAAAGTAGACTCGGCCCCTGCTCGCCCGGCGCGACGCGCGCCGCACGACTTGCGCGCGGCCCAAACGGACGAGGAAGTCCACGGCCCGTGCCCTTGTCAGCATCTCTGATTCACGAATTCCTTTTCGAGCCTGGGAGAGGTGACAAGTGCCGAACGCCTGGGCGCTGGTCGCCCCCGCCAGCTCGGGGCTACTCCACTCGATTAGGGGAACGGAACGCCAGTCCTGCACGCGGCCCGGCGCCGCCCACGCCCCGGCCAATCGGGTTTCGACAGCGGCGAAGTCGCAATCCGCAATCAGGATCACCAGCCTGCGGACCTGGGCCCGCGCATCACGCAACTCTGCCAAGCGTTGACATTCCGCAAACGATCGCGGAAAATATTGCCGCAAGCAACACACGCGCGCTCAGACGCGCCAAAACGTGAAACGAAAACCGTTCGGCGCGACACACATTCCAGCAATCGCTCCAAAATGAATGCGCGCACGGTGACATCATACGCAAGCGGGGGCGCGAGGAGAAAGAAGACAAGGCACATGGATAGCGGCAGAGAAGCAGTGGATAGATGGAGATAGCAAAGGACAACAGAAAGCGAGAGGAGGAGGGCGTCGACGTGCATCTGCGGAGAGGCGGCGAACGCAACCTCCCCCCCGACGAAAGACGACGTGAGAGAATGGCAGAAAGAACCTTGAGAACGCGAGACAGATCGAGAGACACTTCAAACCCGAACTCAACTGACATCAATATCTAAATTGCGATAACAAC